ACAAATTACTAATTAGTATATTGACACTTGATACAATTTCAGGTTGGTTACTGTATACGTTTTGAAGATTGCACTTCAGAGCGTACTATAATCAAATACATGACTGATGGAACATTGCATAGAGAGTTTTTGTCTGAACCAGTTTTACAGTCTTATAGTGTGATTATTGTAGATGAAGCTCATGAACGTATAATAATATCGGTATATTATTATACTGATATTTTATTTGGTTTAGTAAAAGATGTTATACGAAGCAGACCAGAATTAAAATTAATAATATCAGCAACTTTAGATTCAAAGAAGTTGTCTGAAGTTTTTGATGGAGCACCTATATTCAGAATACCTGGTAAACATTATTTAAATTTTATAATTTCTTTGTGTAAATACTAAATATATTTTTGTATTTCTGTTATAGGAAGACGTTTCCCTGTGGATATATACTACACAAAAGCGCCTGAGGCAAATTATATTGATGCCTGTGTTATATCTATATTACAGATACATGTAACACAGCCCCTCGGAGATATACTAGTCTTTTTAACTGGCCAGGAAGAAATTGAAACTTGTACTAAACTACTGCAGGAGCGTGTTCTTGGATTTGGTTCTCAAATCAGAGAACTGATTGTATTACCAGTTTATAGTAATTTACCTACTGAGATGCAAGCCAACATTTTTAAGCCTACACCTCCCAACGCTAGAAAAGTAATTCTTAATACTGAATATTCTTTAGTGTTATAACCGTGTGTATACAGTGAAAATTTTTTAGTTTTGTAACCGTGTTTACACCCAATATTTTACAGTTCTTTAACCATGCACACCCTGCAATTCTTTTTTTTCATTCTATATAATTGCCATTAGTTAAGAGGACGCAATCTGGATATTTTTATTAACAATTGTTGTCTCCGTCTTATAAGACGTGCATAACATAGCAAAGTTACGCTCAGAAGATGACGTTTAAGTCAGTTAGTTTAAAATTCAGAGTGAATAATCAACCTACTATGAAACCATTGATGGTAAGAAGATTATCTATGTTCGTATGTTTGTTTTTTACGATTGTTCAGTTTTTTAGTGATTTATGAGCATTTTTAATTTACGATATATTTTATACGCATAACTTGCTAAATAATTTATGTATCGTAAAAAACAAACACACAAACACGGATAATGTTCTTACCATCACGTTTCATAATAAGTCGAATCACTCTAATTTTTAAACTAACGGAGCTAAACGTCATCTAATTATAAATTAAGTTTAAAAATTAGGAATAAGAAATTAATGTATTTAAGTAATTTTAACATTTATTGTTTGATTTTTAGTAAAACATACTTAGAAGTTCATAGTGAAAACAGCTGTTTATAGCTTCTTTTATTGAAGCACTAAACGACGAGTTGCAACCAATTTTCACAAAAAGATAAGATTTCTGAAATGATCCATTCGATTAAATATATATAATTTTAAACAAATGAAGTTTTTGATAAAATAAAATATAAATGATTTACCAATTCTTCTTTATAATTTATGTTGTCTTCATTTGGTTCTGATAGATATTTTTCACAAGTATTGTTTGTTATTGAAGTATCAAGATTAACAACATTATCATTTGAATCAGAAACTGAATAAGCAAACAATAGCTTTTAAATATATATACTTTAATAATGATATCAGTTAGAATATAAAAATTAGGTACCTATAAATATACTTTTGGTTTTATGAGGATACTCTTTAGCAGGTGTCTTTAAAGTAGTTTCTTGCATGTAATTTGCACCATCAGGATTATCCTTTATCTTGGAAGTAGAAGAAATACTATCACCCCCAGAACTTTCTATATTAAAAATGAATAAATTATACCAATGATTTGTTTTGAAATTAAGATGAAATAAAAAACAATATATTAGTGACTCTTAAATATACTTTTTATCTCATCCTCTTTGTGATTATAATTGTGTTCAAGTTCTGCTGTGTTTACATTACCATCATCATCGGAATTTGTTACTATAATAATATATGTCGTAATGATAAATAATTAGAAATTTCACCATCATGCATAAATTTATGCATTAGCATAATATTATAAAATATCTATATATTATATAACTGCAATGTTTAGTTACAACCTATATAGTGCTTAAAGTTAATTTATAAACTTACCTAACATTTCATCAGATTTAGAATAATATATTTTTGTTTCTCCTTCATTATTGTTTAATAAACATTGAAAGTTCAATTAATCGTTTCATCTTTTATTATTTTAAATTATATTACATTATTGTTATCTATACAAATATATTGAGAATTGGACTTTTGTCCGTAAAAATAAATTTGTACTGGTTACTATACATTTCAACAATTTATATATATATTATTACTAGCTGATCCTGTGCACTTTGTTTCCCGTTAAATGTACCAACTCTATATGACTCAAACATTGTTCAATGCGTTATTTAATATTCGGTGTATGATGTTCTAGATTTATCTTAACTTTTCTGTTGCCCGGAATAAAAATTCTGAATTGCAGCAGTACATTATCAGATAGGTAATTTACCTGCGGTAGATCGCGGACCCCGTGCTGTTTGTACGTAAGTGTATGATTTAACTCAAAAAGTACCAAAGTTATACCAAGTTTGACGTTTTTACTTAATTCCACATTTCCACCTACCTATAAATCCTAACCTAACATAACCATACTAAATTCCGATGAATAAAAAAAACCAAATTTAACCATTTTTAAATTAGCGTATCTTCTTGCCATAGGTCTAATCTACACACCGTCATTCATAAAAAATGGCTATTAAAAAATAAGGGTTGATCGTAGAAGGGTGTATGTATTTTTGTATGTTGTATCTATTATTTTTTTTTTTTTATATATATAACCAATACCTTAGCAACCATTTATAAACAATTATTTCTACCGTAAATTATCAAAATCCCTGTTTGAGCACTTCTTTTATTTTTTTCTGGACAACCCTTATCACTTAGGGGGTATGAAAAATAGATGTTAGCCGATTCTCATACCTACTGAATATGCACAAAAAATTTCATCAAAATCTGTCAAGCCATTTCGGAGGAGTATGGCAACGAAAACTGTGACACGAGAATTTTATATATTAGATTACTGTTCGCGCCAAGCAATTATTGCTTATCGCGGGACTCTAATCTGAGCGACGGCGAAATCGTCCCTCCTCTTCCGTTCCACTCATCTCTTCTTCCTATCTTATATTCCGTGTGTATTATTATTATTATTGATTATTAGAATCACCATATCATATTGTTCTGTGACCATATTTATTGTTTTTGTTTATTTGTATTATCTTAAATTTCTTGTGTTTTTTTTTCTTATTATCATTATTTATTGCGGCCAACGCCCTTGTTGTGAAACTGTTATAATTGTGTTAATGTGTTGTTTGTGCATGATATACAACTCTCGTCGTTCGTAAATTATTATTTATTGTTAATTCTGTTTCTTTTTCCGCTATTGCAGCGCCTACCTTTTTTATATACCTACGCCTGTTACTTATGGTTTAGTACCCTTTTGGTACACTCACAACGTAATGTGGTCATAAATTATTGTTAAACCTGTACTGTGTGGTCCACGTAACCAGACCATTATTATTATAGTACTCGTGTTGTCATTGTGACTGGATCTCACGTCGCTATTGAAACGACATAACAGAACATAATATTATTGAAATAAATCCTCGTCATTACTAAAAGCAACCGTGAGAGTCTTTCTATTATTATTTAGTGTCTGTGTGGAAGTTGGCCTTTGCCGCGTATTCGTGTCCTGTGCCCACCAACTCCGTCCAGTCCGACATACGGATCGTCGCGTAAGTCCGCCAGCACTCGCCGTGGTGTGTGGGAGGCCGCCCAGGTCACCGTCGGTCCAGCTCAACCACAGCACAAGACTTCAAATAGGGTTAAGATAATTTTAAGTACTGTTCCTGTTTTTTGTGAGCTCTGTGGTCATTGCACCAGACCGAATCGACCGCAGAGACCCCCCTCCCCATAATTAGCTTGCACCATCCTAATCCCTTTGGCAGGGATCTCCCGTCCTGATCGTCGTCGTCGTGCGTAGAATTGCCTACCTTGCACAATTTCAGACGAGGGCACCTATAGTTGCCTACCCACCCAAATAGTGGTGGCATTGGCCCACAACAATCATAACAGTTCTCGGGCGTTCCCCGAGTGGTCCTTCGGGAATGTGTTTCGTCAGGTGTCTTGGCATACACAATTACCTTTAAAACAATTTTATTAAAAAAAAATAGAAATAAGTAATAAATTACTAGTTGAATTGATCCGACTTGTTGGTGGTTTTGGGAGACTAGGACTAATAATAAACAAACACACTTATTTTATTCATAAAAATATATACTAACTAAATGGCCCAGCTACAATTGATACTGCATAGTATGTACCATCCTCCTCATTAGGTATTAAACTCTTATTAATCATGTTTTCTATCTGCGATGTAGTAAAAAATATATTTTTCTTATCTGTTTGGCAATATGGAAACCAGCACATCATTTTTGTATTATTAATCCATATTTCTGGCACATGTTGAACCTCATTAGTAGAATTGAAAATAACAACATACCATGGCCTATAAGTCAAATGTAAATATTACAATCAATCATAAAAAAATTAATTAATTTAAATTCTAACATACTATCTTCAAACTTACTTCAATAAGTCTATAATCATTTGTTAACAAAAATGTGTTGTAATAGACAGTTGATCTATTGTGTATAGGTATACCTTTAAAAACTATTCAATCATATGTACTTATCTATCATATTTGTATTAGATTATTTATTTTTAGTGATTAGAAATCAAAAATTATTATTTACATTATAATGATATTTAATTTTTATTTTTATTAATTATTACTATATTAGTATAATGATAATTAATTTTTATTTTTAATAATTATTAGTTATTACTATTTTAGTATAATATTGACTATTATAATATATTATATACATAAAATAAAACTAAAAATACATTATTGTAAATGCAGCAAAGGCATAACAACAGATCTCGTCTCATCATCTAGCATGGGGAAACGAATCATTTTATCTCTAATGTCTGATAATTTCCATGACTGAAGATAACTAAGTTGTGAAACCAAATGTATGAACAATAATTCTGAAGAACAGGGTATATTAAAATATTCTACAACTTTCTCGAATTTTCGTCCAATAATCAATATGCTTTGATCTAATTGTGAAGTTGCAATATTGTCTATTAGTACTAAATCACCACTTTTCATTTTCACACAATTATTTGCCTTGTTTAATTTTAAAACAAATTTTTCTGTTTTCCATCCTGTAAATTGAGGTTCACATACATCCTGAATCAGTGGTCGATTTTTTAGTTTATGCTGCATGTTGAAAGGTCCAAGACAAATTTTATTTTCATTTTTATTTAATTGACTTATTTTTCTCTCTTCAGCATAGCGACATACTAATTGTTGCAACGGAAAAAATCCTTCATCTGTTTCAAGTGGTAAGATAATATCATCATCTGTTATACTAGAACCACTTAAGTATCTATCAGAAGAATCACAGGAAAATTCTGAATTGTGACTGTCAAATGTATTGCTGCTATTTCCTTCTAAATTGTTGGAGACAATTTCTTCTGTAACTTGGGGAATTGATAAATTTGGAGCCAATAATGAATAGTCTTCGTTATTTTCACTGCTTGATGTAAATAATGTAGCATTGGAACGAGCTGCTTGTTTTCTGCGGCTGTAACGAGTACTTTTTGACCTGTTATTGACATTTTGAGAGTTTAAGCTACATATATATAGCATTAATATTTATGTTAAAAAATTAATATATTTAATAGGTACCTATCAACCAGTTTTATATTTTATACATTTTTTTACTAGATCCAATATGTACATTTTAATAATATTTAGGTAACTACTAAGGTATTACTCCTGCAATATCAATTAAATTTAGTACCTAGACCTACCTATTACAATTAAACAGTTTACAAGTATAAAAATGACATTTAAAATTTAAAACAATCATGTCACTATCATGACCAATTTAACTTTATTTTATTCTATAGTCATATTTTTTGCATAATTAATTATACTATACCTATCTAACTATAAATAATTAAACAAATACGAATTTCAATAGGTATAGTTTGATAAATGTAAACAATTTATTGAATTATTAATTATTGTTGTTTAAGTGACAAATTACTAACTTATTTACTTTTGCTAGGTAGGTACCTAGGTATAGTTACTGGAGAAAGAATTATATAAATACTAATTTAACTGCCTACAAATATAATCTACTACAATATGTATATAGGTACTAATATAATGTATAATGTATAATGTATAAATAATAATAATATTATAAAAGTACCTATACCTACAATAAGCTATAATAGATATATACAGAAATAAACTTATTTAATTTAATTCCTATTATACCTATACATATAAGTATATTGTAACCATGTTAAACATGACAATTACATGTATATTGTTGGACATAAGTAAACAGATAGAATTCAATTTTAAATATATAACTAAAGTATATAGGTATATTGTAAATAGGTACCTATTTAAAAATGTATTTTTACAATAAATATTTTCAACACATTAAACTAACCGAAATAATAGTACAGACTTTTAGCATAATGATTACCATTATGAATGATAATTACTTGTCTAATAAGCAATTTTTCTAGGGGGGTGGTCAATGGTCATGAGCAGGGCTCGGAAGTTGTGGCAAATGCATATTTTTTTTGGTTTGTCCTAGAACACCCAAAGTAAGATACAAATATGTTTCACACTTATCTGATGTCATACACGAAATTTTATTTTGCCATTTTTTGCATATTTATGATTTTTATTGCTATTTTGCCATTTTAAGGTTTTTAGTGCTATTTTTGGGTATATTATCAGATAATTTGGAAAATAACCACATTTAGTTGAAAATAATGATTTTATTTGGTTATATTTTTAAATTTTATTTGGTTATATTTTTTATAATTATATAACAGTATAGAAATTGGCAAATGTAATTACTAATTATTAATAAATAATAACATTTAATTTTTTTTTGTAATGAATAATAATTAATAAAATAATAACATTTAATTTTTTTTTGTAATAAACTTATAATTATAATTTTTTCAAGTTAAATGCATATTTTTTGATTTTTCGTGCTATTTATAGCGCATATTTTAGAGTTTTTTAGTGCTTATTAAGGAGCTAAAAATTACCATTTTTAGTGCCACAACTTCCGAGCCCTGGTCATGAGTATTACGCCTATAAACTAATAAAGAATATTAATATGTGTATATATATACTTTCATGCAGAGGCGGAACTAAGAATTTTTACGCCCGGGGAAAATATTAAAATTACTCACAATCATAGACCAAGATTGAAAATATAATATCCGTCTCTACAATTGTTTTATAATAACTGGAACTAAAATTACAAACATTCATTGACTTTTAAACACATAATAATATATAATAATTAAGGGGAACGCAGCAGACGTATTTTTCATGCGTTTTAGACCAATAAGCGGTAGTAAATTACACATACCTACTTCGGAATGTCCGATTTTAATTTTTTATACATGTATGAACTCTTTGACAAAATATCTAAGTTATTTAGGAAGTAGATTTTCAATTTAAAATTTTAAAGGACCTTAAAATAAGGATTTTTTTTTCAAAAATCTCATGAAATAATTGCATTACATTTGTATTTATTTTGGGCACATCTAATTTTAAATCAAAAAAGTGATTCCTAAAGAGCATATTAGTCTAGAAGTTTATAAATTCAACCATATTTTCAAAATTAAAATCGGACTTCAGGAAGTATGCTTAATTTACTACCGCTTTTAGTAGTTTTTATAGCATTGCAAACATGAATATATTTCATTTTTCGTAAAGTATTGACATGTGCCTGCGCGTGCGATAGTTTATTTCGGCGGCGCGGCTGCCGACGGGCCGTGATAGAAGGTCCATTTCCCCAGCCCCGCCATATTGGAATTTCGAAATTTTTTTTTTTTCATTCGATTGTGCTACGTTAGTGCCGTTTGTTCTACTCGGTCCCGCGTTTGTGCTGACTTCCTAGCCCTATGAAAATCAAATTTTAAGTATAGCGGGGCTGAGGAAATGTTAGCCCCGCCATATTGGAATTTCGAAATTTTTTTTTTTTCATTCGATTGTGCTACGTTAGTGCCGTTTGTTCTACTCGGTCCCGCGTTTGTGCTGACTTCCTAGCCCTATGAAAATCAAATTTTAAGTATAGCGGGGCTGAGGAAATGTTAGCCCCGCCATATTGGAATTTCGAAATTTTTTTTTTTCATTCGATTGTGCTACGTTAGTGCCGTTTGTTCTACTCGGTCCCGCGTTTGTGCTGACTTCCTAGCCCTATGAAAATCAAATTTTAAGTATAGCGGGGCTGAGGAAATGTTAGCCCCACCATATTGGAATTCATTTTCATAAATATAGCTCAAAAAGAGTCGAAAATAGTTTTAAAATCTTACCAAAAAAATATTTGGTGAACATTTCATGAGTCTACGGTTATTTGTTTTTGAAATACAACAAATTAAAAAATCGATTAATAATTTACCACTGATTATCAAATATCGTAAAAGTTATTAGTTCAAACGCTCATAAAAAATGAATGTTAGTTTCCGGTAAAATTTTTTTTGAACAGTTTAGTTGATTGCGGTACCTATATAGGTTTTGGCTGTGTACTTTTTCTGTTGTATAAAGATTTTGAATTTTTGAATATTTTTAAACTGGATCATTTATCAACTCAATAGTGGGTAAGTAAATAACTATTTTAACTATAATATTATGTAGCTACGTCTTTACAATCATCACTGAATATTAAGTGAAGATTGAATTTAAATCAATGATTAAAACGATTGACTTTTGTAATTGACCGACTTCGACCTTATTTAGTTTTTAAAAATCAAAATAGTTAGGGCCGTTACCCCAGTACCACCATGTTTGTTCTACTCGGTCCTGCGTTTGTGCTGACCTAATAATTAATTTATAATTCAAATAACTTAATAATATTCATAGTAAATATAAAAGTATCTATCACAATAACATTGTATAATAAACGAATCCAACAAAGTTTGTAAGAAATATATAATAATAATAATAATAATAGAAATACATAATAGTAATTATAAAATAAAAATAATGATAATACCCTTCATAATATGAATTATATTATATAAATATTAACAGTTGAAACAATTTAATTATATGTATAGTTACGCTAATAGTAACCATCACAATAACATTGTAGGTATAATAAATGAATTTAACAAACTTTGTAAGAAATAAATTATAATAATAAAAAAACATAATAGTTATTTAATAATAATTCTAGTTCTTCCATAAAAAAGTAATAGTAAAATATAAAATTAAAATAACGATATCCATGTCCTCCATATATTATTTAAGTATTATATTGTAAATGTACATATTATGCATTACATTTAAATAGTGTAAATAATCATTTCTGCATTAACAACTATAGTGTCTTTACATTTTTGTGGGATATTGTTATAATCATCATATAATTCCCATTTGTTTGACCCTTCTCGAAAACAATATGACGTATAATGACCAATACTATCCACAGTTATATTTGTTGGTTTTAAAAAATGTATGACCCCACGAAGTTTGTATATTTGACGTTTAATTGTGATGAAAGCTGGTATATCTTTTAATTTTATTTGTATTCCTGAAACATATGAATTTTGATCTTGAATTACCTCAACATCTGGGTTGTCGATGTCAGGAATTTTTGCAAAATCTATGTTGGGCGTGGTCATTATTAAAATGTGTTCTCCGTACCTGTAACGCGTAAATCAAATTACATTTGTAATTACTAATTAGTAATAATAAAAGAGTTATTCTAAAACAAACATGAGGACATATTCTTTATACCTTTTCTATTTAAATTGTTCCTATCAAATTGTCAAATGATGTCTTATAATATTCTGATTTATAAGAAATTATCTTTAAATAGGTACCTAAAAAAAAATTTCGAAATTCCAATATGGCGGGGCTAACATTTCCTCAGCCCCGCTATACTTAAAATTTGATTTTCATAGGGCTAGGAGGTCAGCACAAACGCGGGACCGAGTAGAACAAACGGCACTAACGTAGCACAATCGAATGAAAAAAAAAAATTTCGAAATTCCAATATGGCGGGGCTAACATTTCCTCAGCCCCGCTATACTTAAAATTTGATTTTCATAGGGCAAGGAAGTCAGCACAAACGCGGGACCGAGTAGAACAAACGGCACTAACGTAGCACAATCGAATGAAAAAAAAAAAAATTTTGAAATTCTAATATGGCGGGGCTGGGGAAATGGACCTCGTGATAGATTCTCGGAAAGTTAGAATCAATTAGCCGATAAGGATTATTGGATAGGTATAGAACATTACTAATGGGCGACAACAATAATAGTCAGTAATAATAATTATATTTTTCCAAATTTAATACAACATACATATTATGTTTAAATTTTAAGGAATTACAAAGTATAAAAATACTACCTATGATTTATGAATCATTTGATTTCAACGGTTGTAGGAAAAAAAAACCAAGGAAAAAAAAACCACGAAAAAAAAAACCAAAACAAAAAAAACCAAATGAAAAAAAGACTATGGAAAAAAAACCAAATGAAAAAAAATCCATGAAATTAAAAACCAAATTTTTAAATTTTGCTATCATTTTTTCTGTCATATTTTTGGTACCTATTATTATAGAAAATTTCAAATAAATATATTGTCAGTAGAATAAAATACAATATAAAAGTTATGGATACCTCATTGTATAATAGAGAACACGCATTAATAAGTTACCTAATTAATAAATTACATAAAAAATTACAAAAAAATATCTCATCAATTGTCAGTAGAATAAAATATAAATAAAAAAGTTATCGATACCTTATTGTATAATAGAGAACACGCATTAATAAGTTACCTAATTAATAAATTACATAAAAAATTACAAAAAAATATCTCATCAATTGTCAGTAGAATAAAATATAAATAAAAAAGTTATCGATACCTTATTGTATAAGAAATAGCAGTTAAAAAGTTTTCAATGTCACGGGTACCTTTATTATAATTTTCACATAACTTTTTTAATTGGATTTGTAATTTTTTATACACCGTGTTTTGTCGCTTCTGTTGGGGTACACCTAATTCAATTTGGGCCAGCTTAGTTTCATCAGATGCCACTTCTAACCTTATTTTATTTATAATAGTCCATATTGTTGTATGTGTTTGTCCTACTAATTTACTGAACCTGAGGTTCCAACCTTCTGTAGAATTGTTTGTTCGTTCTTCGTCATTTAAAGTCAATTCATTTACGTTCCATAAATTTGGTGGAAAAATACACAGTTATCTAGACATTATCTAGACAGTCTAAATAAGTCCGATTTTGTATCAAAAACCTATATGATATATACAATATAATGTAATGAATAAATGAACAACATAAGCTGTAGGTACCTTTTTTATCTTAATGGTATCTTTAATAATATAAAATATTATCTTTATATGGTTAAATACTTGTGCATTTTATACACACTCATATAGGTACATACACATACCCCAACAATACTTTCCTAAAACATACCTAGTACCTATACGGCTATACGGCTATACAATTATTTACAGTTTATACTTATAAGTTATATTCTATTCTACTGACAAAATATTTATTTGTAATTTTCTGATTTATTAACTAACTCATTAATTTTTGTTCTTTATTATACAACAGACAGAATACCTAAAATATGATATCAAAATATGAAATTTGGTTTTTATTTTCATGGTTTTTTTTTCCGTGGACTTTTTTTCATTTGGTTTTTTATGTTTTGGTTTTTTTTTTCGTGGTTTTTTTTTCCTTGGTTTTTTTTTCCGCACGCCGATTTCAACACAACACGCCGATCAGTAAGGTTGTCTGTAAGTTTTGTGTTCTTTTTAATTTTTTTTTTTACAAAATAGGTTAAGATAGGCGTTATGAGAGAAAAGCTAGACGTAAGTTAAGTGAACCTAAAATAAAAAAAACATCGATTGCAAAATTTACAGAATAAAAAAAATTATATACATAATAATTTCTAAAATTGGTAAAATAATGTGGTAAATATTTTGGAAAAGAAATTTTTTTTTTACTTTTTTCTTTGGTTACATGGTTTAAGAATTAATTGATTTAGTATATGAACGTGAGTTTCCTTTTCCTATATCGGGGATGGTTTTAATACTACTTTTTTAAATGGTTTTATTTGTATAAAAAAGTCAAGTAATGTATAATAGTTAATAACTATGAAATAACAAAGTGATTCTCTTGTAGTCTTGTGTAATGTGTATTATAATGTAATTGTACATTTTTGCGAATTGCAGCGAAAGCCGAGTAGTGAGTTAGTGAGTAGGTAATATAATAGTAAAAAAGGTGGGTAAGTGGATGTCGCTCTGCTGTACAGTAGGTTACAAGTGGGTCACTGTATAATGGATGCTATTAAATTTGAATTCAATGATACAATATCATTGTATAAGAAAAACGATTTTGAGCGAAGACGGTATGTCAGTCTAGGTTTAAGACATATTATATTCAAATCTATGGTATTAAACAAAAAAATTGACCTATAATAAATTCCAAATTAATCATATCACAATATCCATTAGGTACTTATAACACGTTATACATCAATAATAAACCCTGATAATATCATAGATACCTATATAATATAGTGTACTTTAGAAGTTTCAAGTACCCACGAATAGTATTATACACTCACAACAAAATAACTAAAATAGGTATGCTATATAGGTTTTTTAATATGTAATTTCGTCCCACATTTGAACTTAAAATAACCATAAAAATAAACTGTGTTTGTGTATTTTTTAGATTTTTTGGTAACAGAATAAACTACTTACGTGGAATCTTGTTTTAAATTTTCAATCCTTAGCTATAAAAACTGAACATTTTATAATTTATTAATTACGATAATTGATAATTTTCGAGATTTTGAAAAATTCTGTCAAAATTCGATGTTTAAATGCTTATAAAAAAAATTGCGCCTATGTATTTTTAATATTTTTCAACTGATATTGTAACAATATTTCAGGAGCCTTGTATTCAATTTTTACACTTTTTGGCCCAATAGATAAAAATTTATTGATATTCATAGAAAAAAAAAACTAAAAAAATTTAAAACTGAAAATGTCCGTAAACAGCTCAAAAAGAGTCAAAATATTTTCAAAATTGTATGGTGTATAGGAAATGCTAATTTAAACATTCAGTGAAATTTTCATGTATCTAAAGTTATTCGATTTTGAATTACAACAAAATAAGGAAATCGCTACATGAGAAATCGAGTGAATATCCTATGTTGTAAAAAATTTGAATTTCAAACGCTCATAAAAATTTAATTTGACTTTCTTATAGAAATTTTTTTTTTTATAAAAGTATATAATCTCATAAGGAATCATGTATTACATTTTCAAATCTTAGATTTAAAAAGAAACATTTTTACGAATTCTTAACTCAAAATAATTTGCTAATTTTCGTGATTTTTCAATATTTTGTCAATTTTCGAACTTTAAATGCTTATAAAAAAAATTTGTGACTAAGGATTTTTAATATTTTTTATCTGCCTTTGAAGCAATATATTAGGAGCCTTCTATTAAATTTTCAAGCTTTCGCAACCAACAAATAAAATTTTATTGATATTTTTAGAAAAAAAACTAAAAAAAATGGAAAATGAAAATGTCCCTAAACAGTTCAAAATAAATCAAAATATTTTTAAAATGTTAAAGTGTATAGAAAATGCAAATATAAACAACCAGTGAAAATTTCAAGTGTCTACGGTCATTTGTTTTAAAGTTACACCAAAAACCAAATTCAATTTTGTGAAAAATCGATTTTGCGTAAAAATTCCCGTTTTTCCTTAATTTTTCTTTTGTTAATCTTGTCGCTTGTGAAAACTATTGGGAATTTTAAATTTTGACCTTCCAAAAGTACCAACTAGATTCACTTTCCCATCGAACAAGTTACTGAAGTTGAAAATCGAAGCACTCTTTCGACTACTAATCGTGTACACAGACACAAAAATAAAAAAAAAACACACATCATTGTAAAATCAATACATTCATCGTTTCACTCAGAATCTAAAAAAAAATAATGCGCGCGATTGAACATAATATATTGTCATTTTTATAGCATTTTAATTATACGTAGTTCTGGGAATTCGTAATACTGTCAACCGATAGTCATAGGCACGCGATAATGGATTACCCACACTAATGTTCATTTACTACTCACACATAGACATAGCCCAAATGGTTCACGTTATGTGAATTGCCTAAATATTACTCCTTAAAACATGATACGCTGGACTGTGGTGTAACCAAGTTATATTTATACTGATATAGGTACTATATAAAAAAAGATTCAGATTTAAGTGATTAACAAGTTTTCAATGAGTTGGACTAACCCACGTTAAAACTTAACCAACATTAATTGGGTTAATGCTTTATAGATGACTTAAAAGGCCATAATTTATACGTAAAAAATATGCTTATTATATTCTTTAGAGTGGGTTTTAGAGTTGAAAAATAATCAAAACTTTAATTTTACCTGTCCTGTAAATAAAAATTAAAACACTTTTGCTGTTTTGGTTCTATGCGCCTCAGCACTCAATTATAATAGATTTTTATGGTGAAATATAAAATCTTTATTCTGATTAAGGTACACAATTTAGGCCAGTAAAAATTGTATTTTATTATACAATTTATAAAAGATAAAATGAAA